CCAGGGGCTGCCACACACAGCTCCACCAGGGGAGAGCTGGCAAAGCGGAGCTAACAAGGAGCAGACCCATGAATTTTAGGGGGGAAAATAAAACAAGCAAGGGAAGTGCAGCTCCGTGCCCAGCTCAAGGTGCAATAATAAACAGGCTGCAGTAATGTGGAGCAAATGAGGGTCTGACATGCTGTGCCACTTAGTAAGCTGCAGAGGCAGGGAGAGCTTGAAGCACATGCTTGGGACTTTACTGCCAGTGGAGCTCTCAAGTTTGGGGCTTTGATGTGGGAGGTGGGGATGGTGCCAGAGGAATCCTCACCACCCCAATAGGGACCTGGCTGCAGCCCCACCGCCGTGCTTGGGGCCGGGGCTGCTGCTGCCCGGGCTGGCACTTGGGCTGAGCTCATGGAAAAAGTGGTGGGCTCACTCCTTTTGTGAGATTTGCCAAACTGACCCAGGGCTAATGAAAGGAGGTGTTTAATTATAGGGCTGAAGGTAATTGGGCACGAAAGCGGGCAGTAAAATGCAGCCATGGTACAAAGGAGTTGAGGAACAAGGGCTTAATCCTGGAACAGCACATCTGATTTACTCTTTAAATTCCCTGGCCAATGCTTCCTCCCTCTCCTAATGAGGGAAAATGGCACAAATCCCCACTAAGCAGTTTATTCCCGACTTCGAGTCACCAAAACCATGGCACTGTGCTCCATCCCGGAATGATCTCAATGCATATGCTTTGAGTTTAAAGGGAACAGCACAGCCCGCATCTGCAGCTTCACGTCTGCCAGGCTGCAAAGAAGTGACCGCTGCAGCTTTCTATGCATGGGATCAAGCATCCATCTGCAGTGCAGCACACCATGCATCCTCTCTGTGCTGGTAACAGGACGACCCTGCAGTGATCAGCAGGGAGCAAGCGTGCCTCTCCCGTAACAACCCACGTTTTCATCCCATGGATCAGAAAGCAAATGCTTCCATCTGTAGCATCCAACTCACCCCACGTTGTGACCATGGGCACCAATGGCACATGGAGCCCATCTGCCCATCCCCATGCCCAGAAGGTACAGAGGGTGCAAGGAGCTGGGAGGGCCTTGGCCCCAATGCAGACTCTGATCCAAGGGCTGGTACAGGTTCAGGGCTGTGCTGCTAACATCATTCCTACCGTTTTGTTTTCGTATGTTATTATTTTTTGTTTTACTTTTTTAGGAGCTATTTTAACACAAACCATGCTGTGTTGTGAAATCACAGCCCGATATAGCAGACAAACACACACAACTGACAAAAAAACGCCCTGCCCAGCCCTTGTCTTCCCAAACTGAAATATGGACCCAGAGCATCTCCCCTGCAGCCCTCCCATCCAGGATTTGGCCATCCCAAAGGCAGAGGTTGGGCTCCTGCAGGTCCCTCCTGCACAACAGGGACTGTTGTAAAAAGCACATTTTTCTGTCTCCCTTCCCCACTGAGGACGGCTTCTTCTTTAAAAAACAATCTCTCTGCCTTCTCCTATTTTGGTTGTTTTTATATTTTATTTTACAATAGCTTGTGTAATCCATTCCTCATGTTCCAAAGGCACTCGCTTCTTCCAGCGGGAATGGAAAATCATTGTTTCTTTTTATTTTCCCTTTTCTTTTTCTTTTAATATGTTTATGTTATGGAAAATACCCCCAGACTGCAGACGCATTGACTGTCCCACTCTCTTTAAAATAAATTAAAAAAAAAAAGAATAAATAAGAAAATAAAATTTAAAGCATTTTCAGAAATGGAAAAGCCAAGGAGGATGCTGCGGTTGAAGCCCCCCAGGAGACCCCCACACTGTCCCACTCCCACTGCAGACATCTTGCGTGAGCACAGAGGAATTTCTCTCATCTTACTGCATAGAAAAATGCAAAATGCCTCCCTCAACCCCACAGCAATCCCAACCCCAGGATGGGGTGGGCAAAGCCAGGATGAATGGTGGTTATGCACCACATTGGATCCTGGAGGCCAATGGAAGAGGTCCAGGTGCCCCAAGGGCACACTGCAACCATGACAAAGCCTGTCTCTAAATCCATGTTGGTCCAGAAACAGGGCAAGGCTGATGGGTTTTGGCCAACAATTAAAACTAGATCTCTTGAAAGCCAACCAGACTTGGCTGGGAAGAGCATTTGCTCCAGCATCCAGCGTGGTTTCCCAGGAAGGCATTGCAGAGCAGCGCTCAGCTCACACCACTGACTTTCAGACTGAGTGATGCTTTCTGCATAGGACAGGAAATGTTGTGAGAAAGCGGCGTGAGCTTTAAAATGGAAAGAAAAAAAAAACTACCAAAAACAGCACCAGGGAACCCTGACCGAAGGGATGGCCAAGGCTTCCAAGGGACTTCAGCACTCAGAATGGAAGGGATGGGAGCGCTGGTTCAGCCCATTTTCAGCATGACCCCAGCAGTGACCCCAAACAAACAAACATGACCCCAGCAATGACATTTTCTCCCCACCCTGGCTGGACGTGGCCGTAAGAAGAATTGGGTGTGAATGCAGCACGCAACGGGAGGAAAAGGGAACGTGAAGCCACGAGACTGAGCCCAGGGCCATCCCACTGGGCTGCTCCACGTGCTCCTGCTATCAGCTCCATTTGGGGATATTTACGGCGTGGCCGTGGCTCAGCCTCACTGCTTCGGATGGGAAGTCACATTCTTGCTCCTAATGCCAACCATGTGTGGATCCAAACACACAGCTCGTTCTTTGTTTCCCAAACTGTACGCGGCCAAAACAGTGGACCGCAAACGCTGACGACGTATCAGAGGAGATCAAGTCTAAGAAATCATCATGAATTAAAGCTCTCAATACAGGGAAACGCCACTGTCTCCCTACCCCCGTTAGATCATAACAAGGTGACGAAAGACAATGGATTTATACCCGTTCCCTCACCCCAAAACACACAAACAGAAATATATCATATAAAAAATAATAAAATAAAAAATAAAGACATGCCACGAGCCAGCGGGGTGTCCTTGGAACAGGCAGAGCCTCTGACAGGCAGTCAGAGCAGCAAACAGCCTTCCCCAGGAGGGGGGGGATGAATGGAGACAACACAGACTTTGTGGCCCCTGCATGCAGCTCAGGCTCCCCAGATGGCCCCCAATGGCCCACTCCATTGGAGAGCAAAAAACGACTTTTTCTTACCAAAAAAAAGTGTTTTGAGCCTAACTAGGGGATACCTTTGGGGGGGTTTCTTTTCATTCCTTCAGTGTTTGTGCAAACAGACCTCCATTTTCATGGATATTACCAGAAAAGTTAACAAAAAAATAGGAATAGGGTTGAATCCAAAATAGCCCTGAGGCATTTAAGTGAACGTTCATGGCTGTTCTGCAGTGCTCACCCAAACATAGCTGTGCGCAAAGCTGGGGATTCAGGCTGGATGTGAGGAAAGACTTCTCTGAAAGAGTGCTAATGCATTGGCGCTGGGTGCTTGGGGAAGTGTTGGGGTACCATCCCTGGAGGTGTTCAAGAACCATGGAGATGTGGCTCTTGGGGACATGGTCAGTGGGCAGAGTTGGTGGCAGGTGAACATTTGGACTGAATGATCTTAAGGTCTTTTCCAACCTTAACGGTTCTGTGCAGGAGAAGATGCTCTGAGTTCCACATAGAAAACCATTTGGCCATATTCCATCCTTGGAGCAGTCATTTAATCCTCCCCCTTTTAATAAAAATTATGTTTGAAACAAAGATGTTTATTGCTTTTATGAGTTCCTATTTGTATGGAAATTGCATACAAGACGTGATCGTTCTGTTTCTTGCTCTCTCTTTTATTTCTGAATGAGCAAGCTCAGTTAAACCTCAGCGCTACTTCATCTGGCTTTGGAGGCAGAGAATACGGATTAAAAAGAGCCATGCAAATGTTTTTTATAAGCTTCTCTTATTTCCTTGCCACGGGACTGCCTTTAATTATCTCCATGGAGCACAAAGGACACATCTGTAGTGCCACCATCCCTGAGTGCAGGGCAGCAGGACAGATGTGGTCCGTGTGTCTGTTTGCCAAACTCTGGCTCCTCCTGTCCCTGTCCCACACTCAGTGCTCAGGGGGACACAGGGAACCTCTCGGTTCTGCAAGCTGACCCCATTGATCTGCCTCAAAAGCACACGTAACGTTTGGTATTCTCAGAAATAGGCCAAAATCCTGTCTATGTCTGATGCATTTCTTGCCACGTAGCCAGAGGGCCCCGCTGAATTACAGCATCTGCTGTTCTGCTCCTTCAGCAGGGATGGGTTTGGGATCACTCTGCCCCATTCTATTCAGGTTCAGTCTGACCGAACCATCTGCAGAGCCGTTGCTCAGGACCTGGTTCTTCCTGGCTATGATCAGCTCAAGATTTTGCTTGTACTCCTTAACTACAGCTGCAAAGCCAGGATGGCAAAAGGCAGCAGCTCACGGTGCTCTGCCCAACTCTTTACAAGCACTGAGCATCCTCCCAAAAAGGTCTCATCCCACGCCTTGCAGCCACGCTCCTCAGCTGTGGGCAGCCTGGATTCCTCACACTGTTCCTTCACTCACTGGTTTCAGACTCAAGACATCACCCAGTGCACGCCCAGCAGCTCGCCTGCACAGCATTCACACTCCTGTGAGCAGCATTTGGAATTGCCCCATCCTTGCAGATACCCCAGGTCAAGGGATGGGGCTCTGAGCAGCTCTGGGCTTGTCCCTGTTCACTGCATGGAGGTCGAACCAGATGACCTGCAAGGGTCCTTCTAACTCAAACGATCCTATGGATCTCAGCACAGTGCAACCTCCTTGCTGACCCTCCATTTCCCAATGGGAACACAACCACATGGGAAAAGGAAAAAATCGAATGGCAGGAAACCACACAGCAAACCTGCACGAGGACAGCAAGGCGCAACGCGTGGGGAAGCCAACAGAACACCACGACGAGGAGAAGGGAGAGGAGATGTGCAGCAAAGCTGCGGCACGGCCCAATGCTGGTTGGCTCCTCCACAAGATCAATAAGCAAACACAACCCCAGCAGCGTTTCCTGCTGCACTCACCACGCAAGAAAGTGGAGGAGTAGGCGGCGAAGGAATCGAAGACGCCGTTGGAAGCCATCCCCTCACCCTGATTCTCACCCTGCAGTCGGGCTCTCCTCGAGCAGCTGCAGGAAGAGGAGGAGGGACGGGGAGGAAGAGGAAAGCCTGACAGCAGTGCAGGTAGCCCGGCTCAGTCGCGGCGTTGTGGTCGGGAGCGCAGCATCACCTGATCTGTGGCGTCAATGGCCCTGATGGTGGATGTGGTGACCAGGCTGGGCTTTTTCCTCTTTTTTAATAATAATTTTATGGCTTGCATTCGTTGGTTCGTGGTGAGCGACAGACCGAGATGTTTTTTCTTTAGTTAATCATACGGCTGCCTGAGAATAAACAGAGGAGAGAGCCCATGGGTTCCTAATTGGGTGATTGAAGTAACGGCCCATTCACAGGCAGTGGTTTTCTCCTTTTAACTGCCTCTTCTCCCACATTCGCCACTCATCCGCACCGATGTTTGGAGCTGTGCTTTCTGACTCCTGGCCCTTGCAGACAATCACTGGTGCTGAGACTGCTTCCATATGTGTAGATGGGTGGTTCTTCTTCACAGGGATTTTATGTGAATTAGCATTAAGCAAAAATCTGAAGCACATGCGGCAGAATAAACACGGCTCTCCGCAGAGCAGGGACCTGATGGCATTGCTCTTGGGGTTTTGCATCTCTTTCCATGCAGAAAAAGGGTGGGAGGTTCAGCCCCCATCTGGCTCAAGGCCCAGTAAGGTCACGAGGGAGAAAAGTGAGGATAGGAGGTGCTTTTAAGGCTCTATTTCTGCCCTTCATCAGGTGCCAGCTGGGAGCTCTGATTTACACACATAGCAAAACATCATCAGCTGTGCTACCTGGGGAGCTTTGCAGGGGACTTTTTCTCTCGGTCACCTTCCCACCACTTCATTTTCCCTAAATCATGACTATGCCATCCCCACAGACACAGCACCAAGCCCCTCAGGCACAGCTGGGGCTACTGGCCTTGGTCATTGCCCCTCTGCAATCCACAAAACGGGTCTCTATCCTAAGATTTCTTTTCCAGCCTTTTGGAATCAGGACATTTTCCCCACAGGTGAGGCTCTAAGTGCTCCAATTTGCTCCCTCAGATGTAAGGGTTTATTCTGTGGCCTACAAAGCAATGGTTATTCCCTTGCTATCTGTACGCTGTACCTACACAACGCTGCCAGTGTGGGTCATGAAGATCAGCACTGCTTCATTGTGTGCACTGACTGCATTTGGGTGAGAGCAATGGGCACCTCCAGCAACCGGTATGGAAATGCATGGAAATCCAAAATCCCTCCCCTAAGACCTATAAGAAGCAATTGTAGGACAAAACCCACATGAAACCCTTCATCTGTTGCATCCATTGACAAGAAGAGTTTGGTATTCTTTTTTGGTAGCTGTGAAATGGAGCGGCAGTGAGGCGAAAATCCCACCCTGCAGGAAGAACAGAGGAACACAAGGTGATAGAGGGAAACGGCATTGCTGGTGTTTTTGACTGTATGTGCAAAGCACAGCCTGGGAGAGGGCATGTGATAACAAGAGCCAATTAAAAGTTCTCATGCAAATAACCCATCTCTTCCATGGTCTCCTCTGCAGAGCTGAGCACGCAGCTCTCCCACCAACATGCTCCTGCAGTACAGGAGAAGTCCCAAGCTGGCTGGAGGCAGCAGACGTGCTGCAAGGGATTGTTTTGCTTTGGTTCAGTGCTTTATCTCAGCCTCAGCTGCTCACTGTGCTGCCCAGCTTTGCAGAGATACAGCAATCCCAGCAGCTGCCCAAAGCCAAAGACCCAGTGCGAGTCTGGGAGGTCCATCTCTGTTTCTGTGATTCTGTGATTCCTGTGATCTCCTCCGAATGCTCAGAGAGAAGCAGCAGGCCAGGCTGGCAGCACCACCCCAAACCTCCCCACTGCTCCAAAGCTTCACATTCACTTTCCAGACATTGCTGCTCCCAGCTCACGTGTGATGCAGGAACTGCAGCGCTGCCCCAGTGCTGCAAGCTGCAGGAGCAGCCGTGCACTTCTAGGTTAGAAAACCCAGCGTTTTACCCTCCTCTGCTCGGAAAGAACTGACACTGACTGCTGCAAACAGGTTGCCGTAAGCACACTGACACAGGGGCTTTACCAGCCCATTAACTTCCTCTACGGTGCTGCTAAAACCGCGGCTGTCTGCAGCCGTCCTCCTCTCCTGCACCGCAGCTCTCACCTCTGGGAACAGCACAACCAAACCTGGCCCCAGGGCTGCAGGACAGCAGCCCCAGCACTGCTGTACACACATATATGTGCACCCAGGTGCTGAGCAAAAGGCAGAGCTCAGGGTGTCAGCACTTGCTGGTTTGGTCCATAGGACACCACCGCAGCATGCATGGTGCTTCCCAATTGCAGCAAGTGAGGTGGGATGGTGGTTTGATGTGGGAAAACGAGGCATGGGGTAATGGGGATTAAAACCCCTCTTCGTTTGGGCTGAGGGCAGACAAATCCACGCCCTTAGCCCTGCAGTGCGCCATCACCTTTTGGAAGGCTGCCTTTTAGCCAAAGCAGCTGTCAGATGTCCTGAAGCCACAGTTCAGCTTTGCTTGCCCCATTCCCCTGCCTAGTGGCTATGCCCGGGCAGTACAGCCCTTCCCCATGCCGGCTGTGGCTTCAGCCATGGGAAACAAGGCATGTGATCGCCTCCATCCCAGCTATCATCCTCAGCCTCGCCGGCGCCAGGCTGCTCTTCGAATGCCACGCACTGCCAGGACCCCCCTTGCATGCGCCCGTGGCCGAGAGGCACAATGCTGCCATTATAACCCCGACGCTCTGCTGATCCCCTGCAGCACGGACCGGCCACGCGGTCACTCCTTTCTCTGTGCGTCCAAAGGGTTAAAGGAAAGCACCCGAGTCTTGGAGCTATGGGGTGAGCTGCAAGCAGAGGGAATCTGCAGTGGGTCAGGGGATTGTCCAGAGAAGGGACCACAGCCCTGTGGTAAGGAGGGAATAAGGAGAGAAATGCATAAAGTGCTTTTAGGAAGGGGCCAGGAGTCAGGGGCAACGTGCAGACACTCAGTGCTGCCTTGAGGCACAGACCCTGTGCCTATGTGGGGCTCTCTGGAGCCTTGGAGATGGGTGCTCCTGCAGGACACCGCCTGGTCCTGGGGCCTCTCTCACCCTATCAGCGAGAGCACAGCCCTGCAGGGCTTTTATCTCTCCTTTCATTATCGCAGGATTGAGAGCAAAGTGGAGAAATTGCAGCTGAATGCACCACAAAGCAGAGCGCAGCCCCGCACCGCCGGGCACCCGGCTCTGCTCAGGGCGGTGATTGCACCATCACCGGTCACACCACGGTCACGCAGTGCCCTCCACCCGACCCTGGGATCACACGCTGCTGGCACCTCCGTGGACCACATCCCTGTCCTCCTGTGCACTCAGCTCTATAAGCCCCAGCCCCTGTGCACTGCCAGCACGGCGGCGATAGGCTGCGAGGTCCCTTCCAACTCAAACATGCTGGGATTCTTTGATTCTCTGATTCCAGGTGCAAGCAAAAAAAGCACATGGGCCAGCAGGCCCTCGTGGGTGCAGCCGTGGGGTCAGACAAGGGAGAGCAAAGTGGAATGGAGGAGATGAACAGCAGAGCTGCAGGGACAGCTGCAACAGGGGGTGCTTGGGATGACTTGGAGGGGAATGGCCCCCAAAGGGGAATCACACCCCCAGGTGATGACAAAGCACTTCAGCTGCCCGATGGCATCCCCCAGTGATGTCACACCATAGGCATCGTGCGGCTGCTCCCTGTGGGGCTGCATCCAACCACACAGAGGGAGAGAATCTAAAAATACGCCCGACCTCAACCCATCCACAGAGCACGAGGAAGGTCCCTTTTCTCCCCGAGTTTTCCCATTACAAAATAACAAGGGGAACATGCAAAAATCACTCATCCATTTTAACGGCTCCTCTCACAAACAGCGATGCAAAAACAAACAATTTATGGCAAACAGTGTGAATTTTTGTGTCTGGTCTGTGGTCTTAGAGCATACGTTACACAAGAAGAGCTCTCTGCAGAAGCCAAGGAAACCAAGGCAGCTGCTGGTGGGTTCCCACTCCACACGTCTCTCTGAAGGATGAGCAGAGCAGCAATAACCCCACGCTGACCAGTGTGGAGGAGGAGGACCATGGGAGAAGCCCCGAGGTCTGTGCCCCACCGCACAGCCACACCACACACATAATTAGCCCTGATGTGGTGGGATGCACGAGGTCTAAATCAGGGATAAAATGAGCCCCAGGGACCAAAGGATGACTGTGAGCCTGCACTGCTTTTTCTGTTGAACTCGTTCCAGTCCCACAGTGTTGCCACATCCATTCCCTACCAGGGCAGCACCTGGATTCATCCACACAAATCCTCTTCCAATCCCATCTCAGTGTGCGGTGCATCTCCTGCTTTGGGGAAAGACTTTTTCCTTCTTCTCTTGCCTCCTCGTGCACAGCAAACTGCACACCTGGCAGGATGGGAACCTGCTCTGCTGATCCCAGAACATGGCTGGATCCCATACAAGCATCACTTAAAGAAACAGCAGAGCAGCTGCAGAGCCCCACACTTCTCCCTGCCAGGCTGGGGAGGGCAGAGGGCTTCTGGGGTGGCCAAGTCTGAGGCTGGCAGGGAGACCTGGAGCTGCCCTTGCACCCCTTTGCATTCATATTCATTTTTATTTAGTTAGAGAGCACAGCTTTGCTCATAGCAAAGCAGCGGCGTGACCGCCTCGTGCCTCGGATGTAGGGCAGCAGACGTGGGAAGCTGCCTGGTTCAAAGGCTCACACATGCCCTATGGATCCGGACAATCCAGCCTGCAGTAAAGTGGCTCCGTTTGGGATTTGGCATCTTGTAAATCTGCAAAAGTGATGGGAAGAGCAGCACTTATTGATCCGACCCCAGAGCCTCTGTGATAAAAAGAGCTGCTCACTACAGTGTGAAAGCCACAGGGCACAGCCAGCAGCTGACCCGGCACCCAGGGAAGAGCTGCTGTGTCTCCCACACACCCTAGGGCCAGAAGTGAGGCTCTCAGGAGGGT